CAAACTTCTCCTATAGGTAGGGCAATGCCCACTTTAGGCGTAGGTCAAGATTTCTGGAAACCTCCGAAATCTGGGTTAGCCCGCTTGTCCTTAAATGCGAACAAATGATCTAAACAATATCGATGGGGGCTTCATAAAAAGGCCATTTTTTAAAGAATATTTTCCGTTTCAATGACTAGTTTAGGGTCTAGTCTAGCAAAAGACAGCCTTAAGCAACTTGTAGTGAGGTAGGGTTCGCCTTCCTGGACGAACCAATTTACTTCAAGACGATCCGCTACAGCAAGTACAAAGTGATATACACGCATATAAAGGTTTCTTATCCCGAGAAGGATGGTGGTTTGTGTGTGTATGTGTGTGTGTGTGTGTGTGTGTGTGTGTGTGTGTGTGTGTGTGTGTGTGTGTGTGTGTGTGTGTGTGTGTATACAATTGTAGATGCACATTGCGTAGCGTGACTACATTCAGATTCATTTGATGAAAAGACATGGTTATTGATGCAAGCCTTGAGCATCGATAGCCGTAGTCATACTTTAAATCAATAAAATAGCATTATGTCATGTTCTTATTATTATTATACTACAAACAAAAACAAAACATAACGAACATAAAATGACACAAGCAGAAAGCCTGCGACAACATGTAAAACTCAACTTTTATCATGTAGCTTACCAATTTACAGGCTCTTAATTAAACTTAATTTGAATAGGAATAAAACATTTCTACTGTAAATGAAAAATAAATCCAAAGTGTTCTGATAATGATCCCTATATTATGACATCATACTAAAAGTCTTCGCGTCACATTTCTATGAAATGGCATCATCTTTATACGTACAATCTGACGAAGTCATGAAAATAGTTATAATACAATGGGTTGCATTCCTTCTTAGTCTCAGCATCGCTTGTTGCATGAATATAGCGGGTGGTTGGAGGGCGCTACTGGTAAGTCCTACTTGTCTGTCTGTCTGTCTGTCTGTCTGTCTGTCTGTCTGTCTGTCTGTCTGTCTGT